TATAGGTGTCCTGTTTTGAAATATGGGTAACATTAGCCATCAGAAACTAGTCCCAGAAACAGTAAAGAAAAAGTAAATGATAAATATCATTAAAAGCAAGAAAATAAAGGTGTCACTATGGTAGGAAACTATTCAAAGTCCATATTAAATGCCATAGTTTGTAATATAAGGTCATGGTCTGCTAAGCTTAGGAATCTCTCTTTTGAGGAAAAGGTATAGAGTGGCAAATCAGATTGTCCTCCACTTCCTGAGGGCTGTATAGTGCTGAGAAGCACAGGTGAGAGCAACAAGCATTCACTAAAGACTAGCTCCCAGTGCCTTCTCTCAGGGGTCTTGGGGAACCAGCTGGAATACACCTTCTGTGGTTTGGGATGTTTTGATGAAAGACTGCACAAAAATGTGACATAAAGGCCCTTGTAGATGAGAGGCTGGACAGAGGACAGCTACTCATTATGACTACTGGTGAGTGCTGAGGACACCTTTTTTTTTTTTTTTAAGTCAATGCAAAATTGCTTCTACTTTTTTCTTTCTTTTTTCTTTTTTTCTTGAGATTAAGAGTCTCTTATTGTTTGTCTCCCTCCTGAACCCATTTTGTTTCATTTTTTCCTTCCCTACCCCCAAAACTCACACTTTGCCTCTCAAATTTGAGGACACATTTCTAAAGGGCAAGATTTCTCTAGGGTCACTGCCATCAAATGGCTAATATTTGACTCAACTTTAATTGAACACTTCAGGTTTTAGGCCATTATCAGGCTTATCTGTAACTGTGGCCAAAAATTTCAGGTTTAGGTATAACTGATATAAAAATAAGTTACTTTATTCCATTTTGTTTCACATAGTTAGAGCCAAATCAGTGTAGACCTATGTGCAAATCAAGGGATTTTTGAATATTCAGAGAGAAAACAACAGCATGTAAGTTCATGACCAGATACTTCCCTAGTACTTCAGCTCATGGGGATGCTGGATTTGTGGGGGAAGTAGAGGATCTGACATTGCTTTGAGGTTCTCAGTGGAATGGCCCTATTTCCTAAGTCTCTGTGGGAGAGCAGTGTCATCCTCCATCCTTGTGTTCTCTCTCTAATGTTCAAGTTATCCCTTATGACACCTAACCAAACCTCAATGAAGTGGATGAAGATGCCAGAAAAGCAAACTTTAAAAGGAAGAGTTCAAGGAACTGGCAATACTGGAACTATTAAACTTGGAAGTATACATGTTAGGTCTCTTCAGATACATGGGAGCTGCTGAGTAATGACAATCTATGCATTGTCCTATTTTTTTTTTTTTTTGAAAGAAACAATGAAGTTCAAACACATAGCATTTCCTCAAAGCAGGAAAAGCATTAAGCAGTAAATCGCTCTCCTTTCTGAGATGGTTGGGCTCAGCGCTCTGGTTTTATCCTACTGTATTGCAGACAACCTCAAATCTAGTGACTTAAAATGACAACCATTTTATCATAGCTCATGATTTGGTCAGGAATTTGGGCAAGGCTTGGGAGAATGATTCTTCTGCTCTAAGTGACTGAGGTCACTTGGTGGTGGGTGGTACACACTGGTGGATGGGCTGATTTGGGGAGTCCAAGATAACTTTATTATCAAAAATGGTACCTTGATGGAGGTTGCTGCAAGGCTGAGTTCACCTACGATGGCTGATCAGGGAATTAACATGTGGCTTCTCCAGCATGGCAGTCTCAAAGTAGTTGAGCCTTACGTGGAAACTCAGACCTTCCAAGGAAAGGATTTCAAGAGACAAGAACTGAAAGCCACTATTCTCCCAAGCCCTGGGCCTTAGAACTTGTAGCATTGTTTCTATCACATTCTTTCAGTCACAGCAATCATAGAGCCTGCCTAGAGTTGAGGGGTGGGAATGTGGACCCCACCTCTCAATGGAAGAAGTAACAACAATTTTATGGTATTTTATAATCCACCACCTTTAGGTAATAAACTCTGAATGTAATCATTTTTACACTCTCTAACCTTGTTGTATTTTTCCACCGTCTAAACTTGCTCAAACCAAAAAGAGAAAAGGATGCTTTCTGTGTTATAGGTATTTGCTATGTACTAATAGAAAATACTCATTAGGACCCCTTGTATTTGAATTAGTTTCAGGGCCGGTGAAACATTGCTTAGATAATTACTTAAGTCCTGGAACAATGATTAGTGTGAAAACTAATAGGATTTCATTAATTGTGTCAGCAGTAAGCTGACCAAGCATCTTTTTGAAAATGGCCATTGTCTTTGGAGGTTAAATGTACTCAGAGTAATCCCAGCAGTTGAGGTGAGCACAATCTCTTAGTTACTCATCTTACTGCAACAGAGCTCTTTGTTTTTTCTTCTCATGTATTTATGTGTTTGTTTTTATAGAGTGGTTTCTGACAGGCACACTCAAAAGATGTTTTTCTGATCTTGCTTTCATTCTATGGAGACAGGAGGTAAAACTGAGTCTAAGTGGGTCAAAGTGCTGAATATGGAAGGAGTGTCTGTAGAAGCATGTGGATTTCTTGGGTACTGAGTTGGAGAAGTTGGCCTTTACATAGAAGTAAGAATAACCCTAGGAATAAGATCCTGGGTCTTCATCAGTCTCTGCCAATGGTAACTACTTGGTTTCCCAAATTTCAGCTTCTAGGAACTTATTTGTCATATACCTATATCAGTCTTTGAAATAGACAACCTTGACATACTACGTTTCTCACTTTGTATTCACTTGGGCCTTGGTACACCTAATTTCCTATTCATATACCCCAATGTGGCCACGCTCCCAACCTTATACCTCCCTCACTGACCGGAGTTAGACATTCCACCACATACTCTCTTGACCTCATCCCTCCTTGACCCACCCACTATAGTTCTTAGTTTTGGTCCAGTTTTTTTTTTTTTTTTTTTAAATTAGCAGTCTTTCTTAGCCTTTCTCTACAACACAGGGCAGAAGGAACAAATTCTCATTAATGAAAGTGCTCCAACTTTGACCCATACCTGCACTTCTGTGGCTGAAATCTCTGTAGATACCATTTACAAATGATCTCATGAGTCACTATAGTGAATATGGAGAGCCTTGCCTCTTCTTGCTGGATACTGACCATCTTGCCACACCAAGCTAATTGCAGTTCCCCAGAAATTGCTCATTCTCTTCTCTAGGCTGTTACATGAGCTTTTCTTTGTCAAATGATCTATATCTTACCTCTTGCTCTTTTTTTTTTCATAGTTCAAGTTTGTTCTCCATTAATGGAAATAGTAAAGGAGGCTTTTTCAGGCATTTTTTTCTCTTTATTCCCATGGTATGCAGGGCAACTCTCTATTAATCTAGTGTCCCCATGTACCTTATCTATTTATATATCTGCCCCCCACCTCTGGATATGAGATTTTTTCTGGGTAGGGGTCATAGGACTTTTCATTGTTGAATTCCCAGACTCTAGGATGATGGCTAATGTTCAATAAATATTTGTTAAATTCATGCTTGCACAATTAATTCATGCATGAATGGTTAAATAGATTGTTGGAATAAAAATGGATATGTGGTCGTACGGCTGGCTGGTGGGCTAGTTGTCAGGAGGATGGCTTGATGGTAGAAAAGATGAATGAATGGATGGTTGGGTTGGTTGACTATTAGCTTTGTAGTAATATTGGAAGAATGTTCATAAATGAAAACCTTACGTCTGGAATTTTGTGACTTGATTGCACAAACTCGATTTCCTTCCATATTTTTATTATAAGTTTGTACATATTTTTGTTGTTATACTGCAGCTCTATGAAGAGTCTTGAAGTTGATTTTAATTCCGTATTCTTAAAAACTTTGAGAGACAAAAGATTTAAAGAATATACAGTAAACCTATGGTGAGCACTGTGAATTGTGTAAGACTGATGATTCACTGACCTGTAGCCTTGAAGCAAATAATACAATATATGTTAATAAAAAATTAAAAAAAAAGAATATACAGTAAACCAAGGGTTGATTTCACCACTTGCTTATATCTGTAGCTCGATTTGCCATGATGTGTGGCTTTCTAGGCCTTTTTAGGATCTTTATCAACAGGCTGCAAATAATTATATTTATTTCTTTTACAAGGTTGATGAAGTGAAATTACTTGGAAAAATGTATTCATGCAATCTCTCTCTCTCTCTGTCACTGTCTCTTTCTATCTATCTACCTATCGTCTATCTATCTACCTATCTCATTGTCTATCATCTATCTGCCTATAGTTTTGCATGTGTTGCTGTTAAGTTTTTCTCCATATATCCCCAGAAGAATCTTGTGGAAATGTAAGTATCCTTACTCCTCTTTGGTCACTGAAGCTATAAACATGAAGATTTGTTCAGAAGCATGCAGGACTAGCAGGGGCAGAAACTAGAATTCAGAGTCTCTTTGCTATCTGCAATTCATTGCTTGTTACCACTGCTAAAATGATTTTTAGAGCCACAGCATTATTATACAGTGTAGAATCCCAGCTGTCAAGAGGGGATGGGCTATCTCTTAGGCATGATGAATAGGTTTTATTTTGAGTGCCAACTCTAAATCAGTTGGTAGTAGCTGCCTGGAGTACTGCATTGAGGAGGATTCTGAGGTCCTATCTGAGCTGCAATTGTTCTGTGATGTTGCCATGAATGTAGGATCTACCATACACACTTGCTGTATATTTTCCATCTCTGTTCTAAGACCACAAAAGATGTTTGTTATGATAGGTGTTCACACTGGCTTGTCCACTGATTCACTGTAATGATTCGTGAGATCATTCATGAAAAAGTATCTACAGATATTTTGCAGTTTCTGGAAGCTGGTGTTGAATGAAATACATTTCGTCCTTTGATGAATGTGGCTAATAAAATGAAAAGAGAGCAGCGAGGAAAGCTAACTAACTGTGCATGAGTACCTATTAAAGTCATTTCCTTTAAAGGAGAAATGCTTGCTTTTCTAGCCAGGGTAGGTCATCTACTGCTAAGGAAGGGTGGTTTCTTGACCACTTGTGGTTAGTAGTATGTTGTGTTGAAAATTAAAAATGTTCACTTTTATGCAGATGCAAACACAATCACATCAACTTTATTTGAAGCTTTGATTACATTCTCATTAATAAGCATATAATTACATTAAGCCAGTTTAACCATATAGCAACGTGCATTTCATTTTAAAATTGGGTATTGGAAAGCTCGGCAAATGCTGGGATTATTAATTACTTAATAGAATTAGATATAATGCACATAAGGAGGTGACCAGCAGTCCTCATGGATCGCTGGTTCCCAGAAGAGTCTCAAAGGCTTAGAAATGTGGTTATGCATATCAGAAAATTTCATTCTGGCTTCTTCCACTTTGTTTCTGTTTTTGCTAAGAATCATACCTTGGGCATATTGATAGATAATTTTGATCATAAATCAGCCTTGCAAATAAACAGCAGGTGGCCTTGCCAGTTGGAACCTTGGAGCATAATGCAAAAGATGTCAGCATCTTCTGTCACTGGGTCTGCGTTAGCATTGGTCACCTGCATGATGGCGTCTGTATTACCTTTTAGTTTCTGAGTCCTAAGCTGAGGTGATATGAAGGACACTCATATCACATGAGTGATATGAGAGACAATAGGGAATTAGTGGCTGCCCATCTTTCTATATGTCTGGCCACTAAGTCTGCCAGATTCTTCAACTCATAGGGCTTATTCTCTCTCTAAAAATGTACCTGGGCTGGCATCAATGTGCGAAGGAGATGATCCCAGAAAGACAGATGAAATATAATCACTAATAAAAGAGACCAATTCCTCATTTTTCCTGTCCCAAGTTAGCCTTGTTACTTTCTAGTCCTGTGGCCCCCAAAGAGTTAAAGTAAAGGATATTGGTTCCTGCTTATCAGGCCACAGTGTGACACCTCTTATAGAATGCACCATAATACTACATTATTTAATAGATCTGAGTATTGCACCTGCTATCTTATCTCCTCTTAGGTGATTAACTTTCCCACAAATGCAATTTGTTAATATGGGGCCACATCTTCTCACAAGGTAAATCTGTGAAATTTGGCAGATTGTTGTTTTGCCGCAGGTGCAAGATGAAAGACCTTGCCCTGGCTTTGCCAAGAAGAAAAATGATGTTGTTCTCAATATCTGGGAAAAATAGTCTGACATAGAGCATAGAACCTGATTCCAAAAAGGTAGTATAGAACTCTAGGACCCAAATCATGCGCTTCTCTACCTTTTGGGGAGTATATTACCTCCAAAAGCCTGAGTGGGAGATCAGAGTCTTGTTTTTACATGAAACCAGGTATTGAGCAAATCCCCTTGTTAAGAGAAGTCCTCTGATATTTGGAACTGCAGCCATTTCTGATGATAAATGATGACTTTTACTCTTATGAGCTATGAGAACTTAATTAGAGCTTAATTAAGGCTAATGCTCAGAATCCTTTGGAAGGTGGAGTGATTAAAAACTAACTTCCATATTGAATAGTCACACTGAAAAGTAGTCTTTGAAATACATGGCATCTCTACTCTAGGGCCCCTTGTAGTCCTGGTTGAGTCTCCACACCTAGGTTAAAGCAAGAGCTGACTATTTTTTGCATTAGAATTTCTTTAGCCAAGACTACAAGAGGCCCAGTACCCAGGTCCATCTCAGCTCCATGTGCATTTATGCAGAAGGTCGTCTCTGAATCTGCAAATCCAGCTCGCCATACACGTGTCTCAGGGCGTCACTGGTCATGCTGGCTATCAACTTCCGATGGCCAGACACCCAGGGTCGACACACTTCTTCCCATTGCACGGTGGAGTTGGGCTGGATTTCACTGAAAGGATGACAAGGAGAGGAAAGGTTTACTTTGCAGAGAGGCAGATCCATTTCCCCACCTTAACCAGGAAGGAGTGAGAACCCCTGCTTCCATCACATGCTCTTTTTCTCTCAGTTGATGGTAGAGGAGACAGAAGGGCTGATTTTACCAGTTCCAACCCAAATGAGGTCCCTAGATGGGGATGTGCCAGTGAATGACTCATTGGGTCATCGTTCCTTCCACTTGGGTGCATCAACTGGCATCTGCGGCCACGCAGTAGATATGGTCCATCCAGTGCCTGGTGAAGGGCTGAGTCTCCTGCCTTGAGTCACCTGAGGTCTAGCTTATACCCCAGCCTCCACAGTAGCCTCATGAATGTGACTGATCTTCCTGGGCTCATTTTGGGTCACTCCAGTTCCTTCCTGAATTAGACTCCTATCTGAATCCTCAGCTGCCTTTGCTGAGGTCCAGATATTCTAATTGGTTCTTGCCAATCCCTTTGGGACAGAGCTTGTTCCCAGGCCCAAGGCCTGGAACATAACCGTACCTGATGCCAACGGATGGAGTGTGTGCATGCTCCATAATTCATAATCCTGTTTAACCACCAAATTGGATCCCCGTGCCCAAGCACCTGTCTGCTATTCAGTTGTATCCATTCTGATAATGGGGCTGGCCTTTAATGGTTCTGGTATTCTCGTCTCCCTCTGCAGCCTATGCTCTGAGATTTTCCTAAGCTTCATGGCCAAGCCCACTCCAGTGAATGACTGAGATCAACCAGGGTTGGGAAGATTGAGGCTTCTCTGGGGTGCTTCACATGTATTACACTATGGAAGCCTCAGGTGGAAGTTACATGCAAGTTTTACATGCATGATAGTCCTTCGAGGCAGGTACCATTTGACACACTGAATAATTAAGAAAAATGGAGGAATAAACAAGTGAAGCAGTTTTTCCAAGATCACACAGCTGTGAATGGGCGGAGATGAGATTTGGAGCCAGGTTGTTCTGATTCCCAAATCTATGCTCTTTCTATTATTGTATACTGTATTTCATACCATAGCCTCCATGAAGATGACTTTTCTGATCTCTGTGCTAGCTTTTTTTTTTTTTTTAATAAGAAAGACAGATGCTCTTTTATTCAGTACTAAGAGCTTCTTGCAGTATTGTTCATAGAAGATTCCTGGTCTCTGCTCGCTGATCCTCAGGAAGAGCATGTAGTGGGTGGCCTTGCTGGGGATCTTGGGCCAGCACTTCTCTGGGAGGACATTAGGGAGATGAAGGGAGACCACCATAAGTGGCTTAGACAGAAAAGGGACCTGTTTTCATGGGGATTACTGAGGCACAGCAGGTCAGAATTGGAAAGGACTTAGAAATCACCTAGTCCAGCTACCTCATTTATAGGCAAAGAGGATGAGATCCTAAGGAGTCTTATGGAATCTTCCACATTCATAGCCTAATGGCCCAGACCATGGATGAACAAAAACGTGCTGGGGAAAATGAAGAGTGTACTTATGCTTAGATATGAGGAACATGCTGTGCAGAGGAATTCTGTGAGTACATCCCTAATGGAGGGTGCTTCCTACTAGTACCATGGAGGGACTGAGGGATCAAAGGAGCTGGGGATGCTGTAGCTTCAGACTGGAGTGGTGGTTGGAGGGGTCATGAGGGAGGGGAACTGCCAAAGAAAGTCTGGAGTGGTTCAAAGGGCTCAGCTGTGTGATCCCCTATTTGCCCTGAGGGTCCAGGACCATAGAGCATCACCTTAAACACAGCCAAAATTCAAGGAGAAATGGGGGCCACATACCTGTGCTTGACCTATTCTATGTAAAGTTAGAACCCCCAAATTTCCTCAAATAGAGCTAAAACGATATCTATTTTAGATGGCAGTGGGTGTACATCCTCTGGGATAGATTTCTAAACCTTAGAAATGTAGACACTAAATAAGAAATCCCTTTCAAACTCTTCTACCTGTGTTCAGTGAATTGGGAAAGGCCTCTAAGGCCTTGGGGACTCCTCTCTTTGGAACAGCTCCAGGCATGGACTCTGCCACTGCTGGTCTAAATGTCTCAATTAATTTGGTATTTGCTAATTCTCTTCTTTATTTTTGTTCTTTATAAATGTAGTTCTATAAATTATTTTCACCCATTATATAAAAGCCAAACTGGGTGAAAAGTACACACATATAACCTAGATAGGTATTGCTCAAACTCAGTAAATTGATTTTATGATTCAAGGGTTGAAAAACATTGACCTCATCATGTGTTTCCTTGCCTACAAAAGGCAGACACTACAGAATATTGAATAGAGTGTGTGGGCACCTGGGTGGCTCAGTTGGTAAAGTGTCTGCCTTTGGCTCAGGCCATGATCCCAGGGTCCTGGGATCAAGCTCCATATCAGGCTCTCCACTCAGCAGGGATCCTGCTTCTCCTCTCCCTTTGCCTCCCACTCTGCCTACTTAGGTTTGCTTGTGTTCTCTCTCTCTCTCTCTCTCTCTCTCTCTATCAAATAAATAAATATTGAAAAGATGAATAGAGTGTGGAGAGGGGTGAATTATTATTTGTACTGCACTTAGAAGCATGGCATATATGGCAATCGCCAAGTGTCATTTAGATTTGTATTACTGTTGTTGTTGCTATAATTACTATTATTAACACAATCACCCTTGTGGTGGTTGTTTCCTCTGCCTCAACTCTGCAAAAGAACTAGGAAAGTAAGTTCCTCCTGCCTGATTGCAGAGAAACAGTTCTTTGTCCTCAATTTACAGTGATTAATTCAATATAAATACATGTTTTAAGATATTTATTTCTCAAGAGCTGGGCTATTTTTACCCTAATCCATTCGTTCTTTCTTCCCTGGTTTCCCCAAGTGATCAATCAGAAACACTTTGCAAAATATTTGTCTTGCTTCGGGATCTGGCCTGGGGCCATGTAACGCAGGTGACTACCTCAAATGGAAACTATAATCCCTGAGCTTCACTTCATTATTGACTCCCACTCATAAACTCAGCCCCATAATAATATTCACATACGTATCTCATACATGTATAGATGTCTACTCAAGACTATCATACAAAGATACTCATACATGAAGATGCACATGCATGTCTAAGTCTGCGTTTATTCATAGATAAATATGTCCAGAAAGAGAAAAGAATCACTCACTCATATTGGTAAGTGGAGTAATACTGGAATAATCCTATTTGCCTGAGGATAGATGTTGTGATAAATGGTTCTCAGTTAATGTGCTGAGCTATCAAGATACACTGGCCATTTATCATCTTGAATGCATACAGGCAAATGGGATTATTATTACAATAAACTGCAACTATCTATGGGTTGTTCTCCATGTGTCTAGCCCTCAGCTTCTGTCCTACTAAAGAAACTCAAAATTTAAAAAAAAAATCATGAAGTCGGGGAACTTTTCTCTCGAAATAACTTACTGAACCTGATCATTTTTTAAAGACAAAAATGAATCTGGAAGATGAATTATTTGATGTTCTGGAAGTATCAAGTACAGAAACTTGAAAACTGAGAGTCTGTGGGGGCAGCACTTTCAAGCATCTGAGATAGGTGGGAGGTGGTGGCAGAAGGCAGGAAGGTGAAGCATCTCGGAGCGAGTTGGCTCATACCCTGAGCAAAAAGTGAAACACCACTGCTTTCCTCATTCCTAGTTCAATTCCCTATTCTCTAGCTCTTGCCTTCCAGGACCCCTGCTTTGAGCTTGATGCCCTTTGTCTTCTAAGGCCCTGGCAGGACTATGGGCGGATACGTGGGGGTAGTGATTCCCTTGACTATTCAAGATGTGTATCCTAGAAGGGAATACAATCTTGTGAACGATTCTGTTTCTACACATTGCTCTTTTAAGGGTCCAAGTTGCTACATGGATCTGTCACTCTTAGATCAGATCTTGGCAGCATAGGGTACCCTGGAGTGCTTATAATTATCTGACAATATGGATGTGGGTGCTGGCTGGCTCAGGTCTTGGTTGTGAATGTGTGTGCTGGAGTCAGGAGGAGACAGGGTAAGTGGTGCTCTCTCCAGAGTCCTAAACCCACCCTAGATCTTAAATATTTTCCCTCTCAAGTTCTTTCCAATTGTTGACAGTCTCAGAGAAATAAAGCTACTCTTGCATTGGAGAGATCCACCCCCTGCATCTGGATTCCCATAAGAGATTGAGGACCTTGTTTTCTGTCTGTTAGCTATCTGCCATGGCTGTGTTGGAAGTAACGACAAGCAGTACCTTAAGGAAGAGTGTGGGCAGGGCATTTGCCTTGTGTCCATGTAAGGGCTGGACTCTTCCATCCTTTCCATGATTCACTCCACTTTGCCCTACTGCAATGTCAGATATTACCCATAAGCACCTGGACACTCCACCCACTTAGAGCCCTATGCATCCCAAATGGTGGGTCATTCCACTGTGTGAAGATTAATCTTTCTTCTAATACACAGATTCTCCCTTTCAATGCATTGGTCTGTGATCAACGTGGGGTTTTTGCCACAGCCAAGGTGTGCTGGTAGCAGGAGGTTCTAGTACCCGCAGATGAGGTTTCTAGGGTTACCGTTTGAGAAGGAAAAATTGGATGCAGCGGGGGGTTGTTCTGAGGAAGAAACGTGTTTCACTTTGCCTGAGTGATTCTCGCATCTGATTCGAGTGGGAAGGTGTGAGAAGGGGTGAGTGAGGCTGTCGTTTCTGACGAAAGCAGGGCTATCACTGCTGACCTCTCCCTCTCGCTAAGGATGATTTCTAATTTAATTCTTTTTTTCCCTTCAACGTTCTTATTAGCACAGGAAGCATTGTTATGTTTTGTGCTTGCATTTTTAAAAAAGCACTCAAATTATTTTCCCTGTTGTTTATTGCATTCACGGGCAGCAGGCATCTCTTGGACAATGGGATTGCAGAAGCTGTGAACACTGTAATTTGAAAGAAATGCAGAGAGCCCTTAGTGGGCAAATTGTTCTTTAAAGGCATTCCGGAAGGGGTGAAGGAGGCCTTGGCCTGGTCCCACAGATTCAGAGGGGGTAACTTCCAGAAAGGGTGTTAGGGAGATTCCTAACATATCTCGCTATCAGGCACTTTCTACAGCCCTCCACCTCCCCTTCTATGCTTCAGAAGTTCACCCCACAGGAAATATGCTAGACTGATTGATGCTGACAGGGACTTATTTGTGGTAGAAATGAAAGTATTAAGCCTCAAAGATTGGGATCCATTCTGGGTGTCACACTTTAAGAGGAGCACAGATGACCTGGAGTATGTGGGAAAGCGGCGGAAGCTAAAGCCACATTAGGGGTCAGGAGAGGGTTAGAGAAGATGTGACAGTTGTTTGCAAATATTTCTAAGGCACCAGATGGAAGAAAGATGGGCTTTATTCTGTGCTGACCCAAATGACAGAATTAGGATCAGCAGGTAGGATCAGAAGGTAGAATTGTTTTTGAACAATGAGAGCTACCTGACTGTGGAATGGGCTGTCTTGTTGGGGGACACTCTTTGTCAGCAGAAGTCACAGAAGCTGAGCCCCTATAAGGCACAGTCTGATGGGACTAGATGTGAAAGAAGCAGTCTCATTCATTTTATCACAGAGCCTGAGGTAGTTATTGGTCCCCTAAATAGAGAACCAAGTCTGAAACTCTTTAGGCTCCCCTTTATTTTACAGAAAACAACAGTTCTAGAATGCTTGTATCAGGGAAATCTGGAAGGTGGGGCTGGAAAGAAAGGACCCTTGAAAAGGGACATCTTTCAGCATAATATCTGACACAAACTGGGTACTCCATGTATATTAGTAGAATTGACACCTGAGGAGGTGGTATGGCAGAATGCTTGAAACATAATTTCTGAATCAGCCACCCTGAGGCTGAATCTGGGCACCTCTTATAATCTGTAAAACTTGGGGGAAACCAGCTGACTTCTCAAAGCCTCTGCTCCCCAAAGGGTGATGATAATAGTACCTATCTCATTAGGGTGGTCGTAAGGATTAAATGATGGAAATGCCAGCCAAACCAGCCCTACTTTTACCCCCTGACTCCTAGAAATGGCCAATAAGAAGGCGGCAGCTTCTCAGACATATTCATCAGGTATTAGATGTAAGTTTGGAAAAGACAGAGAAAGCTAAGCCATCCCACAGTCCCACGTCCCTTGTCACCTTCTCAGTCCCCAACCCACACCTTACCGGAACATCTTCCTCCTTGGCTTCAACACTCCAGGACCATCCAGGTGTATCCACACATTCCTCAGAGTTTCTTTTAGAGGATTGGTGAACTCAACTGTCACCACCATGTCAGAACCGACCATCCTGGCGCCGCGGACCTAAGACAGGAGTTGGAGGAGAATGCAACTCATTAGCAGCACATAAAACCTTTCTGCTCTCCTGTGTCCTTAGCCATCTTCACTTTTGCTGGTTCTACAGAATGGTTATTTTCTGGCAATAGAACTCGTGTGATGAGGATAGCTGATTGCTTTGACTGGGGGATACCTATTGAGATAAAGATGGAAAATTACTAATTAGGATCACACTCTTTTTCTCATTATAAAAACCACCCTAATTAGAGCTCAGGTTAATAGCCGTGACCACCAGATGCTCTTTCTCAGCAGGAGGTGGAAGTGTATTTGGTGAAAAGCAATGCATTTCCATGGTGAGGGTGGCCAGGCAGACTCTGCTTCTGGACAGGACTCAAGTTTCCTGCCAGCACACAGGGGATTCCTGCGTTCAAGAGGAAAAAAATGCTCCAGGGGGGCTGAGCCTTCTCACCTTTAGGTACACTAGAAAGAAATATGGCCAAAGAGGAATTTGGAAGAAAATGAAGAAAAGGAATTTGGATACTAAGATAGGCAAAAAAAGACTTTTCATCTGCAGTTACAATGTCTGAGTCCAACAGAGTCTAAGCCCTTTGTTGGCAAGTTTATCTATGACAAGTCTCAGAAATATCAGGTATTTGGCAAAGGATCTTATGAGGCGGCCAGAGTTCAAGGTCAGTTCAGCACTTACTAGTAGTGGGGCCTTGGGTGACTTCCTCAACCTTTTTGAGATTCAGTTTTCCTGTCTCTAAGACTGGACTGACATTCTAGTGGGATGATTGATGTGAAATGCTATTATTATTTGCTCCTAGGCTGTGTTTACTAGGTTCCAGGAATAGTATGCTTTCCCGACACCAACACAATGAGCTGGAAAATGGCCATGTGGCTCTGGGGTTGGTTGGTTTGTTTGTTTAAGAGATAATATGTGCAAAATGGATAGATCTGACTAACTTCTACATAACTTGGGAGATAATAGTAATAGTAATAGTTCCTACCTCATGGGTAGAATGGGATTATACATACAAAGCAATAAACACGCTGTAGGACACAAGGCAAAAGCCCCATACTTTATAGCTCATACTGTTTTTGGAATAGCAATGCTCAAGGTAGGTTGTTTTATTCACCATGTATTTAGTGTACTTTCAACTCCAACATCTAGCCAGTGCCCAGCAAATATTTGTGAAATTAGATTAACTGCTTAACAATGGAATTTATTGACTGAGTTTCCTATGTAAGGACTCAGCCATTCTTATACCTTATTTCTTTAAGTGTCATATACTATAGAAAAAAATCACATGGAAATGAGCCTTTCTTATGAACAGAGGAAAAGAGGAAGGACAATTCCCAGAGAAAAAGACTCTCACTGACTGACTTTGCAGTAAAGAACAAATCTTCATGGGCTTTACTCTTTGAGACACAGTTTGTGTCTAAATTTTTGTGTCTATGGAATTTTAAAAATCTAGGAGAAAAATGAAAATTGCACCCAATTCTCCATGTTTATTACATTCAAATCAATATCTGCTGGGTGGGATGTGGGGAGTGGTAGGGTCAGAGGGATCAGGTGTAGAACAGACAATGATCATGGTGCTGACCACAGCATGTGTCATCAAGAGAGCACAGATCATAGGCCAAGTGGTTTCTCCAGTGCTTCGCCAGTGGTCTTCAGCCTGCCATGCATACAGAGTCACCTGGGGAACTTTAAAATCACAGAGGTCTAGGCCCACTCCCAAGCAATTAACTCAGAATCTCAGACGGAGCCTGTAATAAGTTTACTCTAAGCACCCCTGTTGACTTCTAGGAGTCAACTTAGAAAAGTGCTCCCTAGGTAAAAATCTCCGATATAGAAAAAACACTTAGAAGACAAGCTGAAATTTTCACCCCCCCTTCCCAGACGTCCTGATTCTCTCAATATATACGTTGGAAGTACAAAAGTGCTTTATGAGAATACTCTGAGTTCTCTTGGTTTAATTTTCGAGTGTGGCCAACATATTTTTCCTAAGTTGGCAAAAAAATTTCAGATTACTTAGATATTTAAATATGTAAGATAAAGATAATATTTACAAAAGCTGTCTGAATTGGAGAAAGTGGGGCTGCTTCAGAGACCCTATTGGTAAAAGTCTGATCACTTTAAATTCGGGGGGGATATTTTGTAGCCATCTGCTGTCTTCATGGCATGCTATTATAGGTATGGACAGAAGCCCGTTACAAAAATCTGGTACTAGCTACTGACCCTTCCTCAACACAGACACACAAATACAAGACACATACAGCCCTCATGTGTGGTTTTTGGGGATTCATTACAGACCCAGAAGATCTGACCTCCCCAGGTTCATGGGCTGCAGGTGAAAAATGATTTCCATGTGTGAGGCTAGCTCTACAGGAAAATTCCTGCACTGTGGAAAGCAAAGTGTACCTTTCCAGGTCACTTTTGACAGTGTTGGGGAAATTAAGTGTTTGAAAGTCTGGCCTCTGTTCTTTGGGTCTTCATGGACAGGCTTTAGATTTGGCCATGATTCGAAGATTAAGCCTTCTCACATAATGCCTCACCATGCCTAACCAGTTTCCCTTCAGATGTTATTTCTGTAGCGGGCTGCTTCCATGGGTGTGTAAATATTCCCTGGGCTTCCCTAATCCTGAGTAGGCAGGAGGCCAGGGAGAAGTGGGAGGGTGAAAGGAGAGGTCTCTTCTCAGGTTGTAGAGTGTTTCTTTTGCAATTAACAAAGACTCAGTGTCCCTTTCCTGACATTCCTCTCCTGCACCCAGAATGTAAACCTCCTTTGCCTGACTACTGAGATGCTAATGAACCTTAGAGACTCAAACCAGCCAAATAGAAAAGCCTGCCTAACAGTCAACATCACTGTTTCTGTGTGGGAGACTAAGTGGAGATATGTTCCTCCCTTCTTTTGAGGAAAACGGACATAGTATTTTCACAGTACGTGTTGATTGAAGCGAGGCGCCATGCTTTGGTATCTGCCAAATGCTGAGAAGACCATTGTAGATGAAAATGTCCAAATCTAGTTCTTTAAGGAACCCACACTGTTCCCTTTTCTTTAATTCTGTAAAAATAATTCCCTATATTGTCATTGTATTTCTGAATTTCTTGCTCTTGCAAGAAGTTCAACAAAGGGAACCTTGAGCAATCCAGAGAAGGTTAGGTCAGGAAAAAACTTTTATGTGTACTCACTTATGAGAAGAGTAGCCATTACTCAGTCCAGAGAAAAGGATAAAGGTTATGTCATTCTTCATGACATCAAAGTCTCTTCTATGTGTTTGATAGTCCTTATTGTTTTCAGTATTCTATTTAAAATATCTTCTTTAAAAATTTTTAAAATATTTTATTTATTTATTTGTCAGAGAGAGAGAGAGCAAGCAAGTGCACAAGCAGGGGGAGCAGCAGGCAGAGGGAGAAGCAGGGAGTCCGACTTGAGACTCAATCCCAGGACTCTGGGATCATGACCTAAGCCAAAGGCAGACACTTAACTGACTGAGCCACACAGGCATCTCTAAAATATCTGTTTTTAGGGCACCTGCGTGGCTCAGTCAGTTAAGTGGCTGCCTTCACCTCAGGTCATGATCTCAGGGTCCTGGAATCGAGCCCCACATCCAGCTCCCCGCTCAGCGGAGAGCCTGCTTCTCCCTTTCCCTCTCCCTCTGCCTGCCGCTCTGCCTACTTGTGCTGTCTGTCAAATAAATAAATAAAATCTTTTTAAAAAATCTGTTTTTAAATATTGACTTGGATATGATGCTTTCCTAGTTAAACATTCACCAATACTGACATACTGAGCTCTTGTCTTTTGTAGGACTTCATGATAATGAGAAACTATTTTGTTTCTTTGGTCAAGGAGAAAGTTACTGATAGGTGCGCACGCACGCACGCACACGCACACGCTGATACACACTCTTTAATCCTCACACCCCTATGAGGTACATACTATGAGTCTCTGTTTTCGAGAGGAACTGAGGCGCAGGGAAGTGAAGTAACTTGTTCGAGTTCACATGGAAGTAAGAGGGAAGGCAGGCAATCTGGTGCCAGTCACTGCTCAACCGCACCCCCACACGGACTCTGATTGGTATCCCTGATAATAGCACCTCGCATGATTTTTAGTGTTCCTTTAGTAATGCAGGCTTGTGTTTCACTTACATTATCTTGTTTCATCCTCCCTACAGCCCTCCTTATGGGCTTGGGGGCAAACATTATCATTATCTTCACTCAATTGACATCAGTCTGACACTTAGAAGGTAAGCAAAGAACCCAAGTGAACGGCGCTCATAAACTGGCAGAACCCAGTGAGCAATCTAGGTCTTTCTGACTCCAAAACATTCCCCTTTAAGCCCTACATACACTGTCATCTCTGACAGCAGAGAGGCAAAAATAGTGACTTTTTTTTCTGATGGAAGTAGCTGCTTTATCTTCTGAAATCCACTGATGAAATCATTCACGATATTAGCTTAGGCTACCATTAAATTTCCAGGTAAGCGCAGTGATTATAGCCTGACCCTGAACTAAATTTGAAAATGTATGTATAACCCAAGTCTTTGTTTTTGACTTCATGGGGGGAGAGAATCCGATTCTTACGACAGAGTAAAACGTGACAAGGTAGCCCCGGGGCCTTGACACATTACTTGACGATAATAGGATTTTCTATTTAAGGTAAAGATAGAAATATAATTTTAGAAAATAACTGGTAGCCTAAACAGAGTGGGATCATATGAAGGTAGATAAGATTCATTATTCTTGAGGTTTTACTTTGTATATATGTTTCTTTTTTAAGATTAAATATAGCGAACGGGAAATGTATGGAAAAAATTATGTCTTAGGCACTCCAGTTAGCAGTGATTTCTCATTTTTGTTCTCAAATACAGGTTGTTCAGTAGCTGTGCCAAGCAGGGAAATGGAAATGCACACTTATAGTGGCAGGGCTCGCTCAGAGACGTCGTCTAGGATGTGCTCTCCTGGCTGATGGAGCATGTGCACCGTCTGCTCCTCTGTGACAAACAGCCATGAATGGCCA